GCAAGAAGGGCCACTGTCCACCTCCTGACCCCAATCTTTGGTTTCTCAAAAGAATTTATAATTAATTTTGTGTGGCGTTGTGTGCAGGGGGGAAACAGAGGACTGTATTTAACTTCAAATCATACTAAATAGCTTATGTCAACTTAGGCCAGGAGAAAGAATTAAACACCTTGTTTTCATCTTTCATAATAATGCTTCCTGTTATCTCCCTCTCATCCCACTCACTAGAAAGAGGGTTTGTCGTCATTGTTTTGTGCTTCCACACACTATTAAGTTACCAATAAAAGTAGATAGGACCACTGAAGAATTTCATCTTCATGGAGTGTTTACCCTTAATGGTTCCCTATAACTTGTCTAGTTGGCAGCCTGACACCCACATAATACAAAAACCTTAACTCATTATGTCAGACACCGAGGAAGCCTCTTTTGACATGGTGTATAATCCTTTCAATATGTTAATTAATTTGGTTTGCTAGTGTTGTGGAGAGGCTTTTGCATCAATGTTGATAAAAAATATTGGTCAGTAGCTTTTTTTCCTTTTTTTTGGTCTAGCTTTAAGATCAGGGTAGCAGTGCTGGTCTCATAGAATGATTTTGGAAATATTTTCTCCTGATCGATTTTTGGAAAGTTGAAGTGGGACTGGTATTAGTTAATTCTCTATAGTTTATAGAAGCCACCAGCAAAACACTAAGGTCCAGGGCTTTTCTTTGTTAGGATAATTTTGATTACTGGTTCAAATTTCATTACTAGGTATAGATCTGTTCATACCTCTGTATCTTCATTACTTAGTCTTTGTAGGTTCTGTATTTTTAGGAATTTTTCCATTTCATTTAAGTTAACCAGTTGCCATACAGGTGCTTATAATATGCACTTATAATACTTATTTTTATAGAATCAGTAGTTAATGCCCCCAGTCATTTTTGATTTCTAGTTGAGTATTCTTTCTTTGTCTAGCTAAAGCTTTGTCAGTTTGGTTCATCTTGTAGAGAGCCAAATTTTGGTTTTGTTGATAATTGTTTTTCTACTCTCCATTTATTTCTACCCTTGATATTATTATGTCTTTCCTCCCACTAGCTTTGGGTTATTATTCTTTTTCTATTTTTTTTAAGTTGAAAAGTTAGACTGTTAATTTGAGATCTTTTTTCTTAATTTGGGCATCTGTAGGTTTAAATTCCCCTTTGAACACTGCTTTTGCCATGCCCCATAAATTTTGGTGCCATTGTGTTTTCTATTTCATTGGTCTCAAGTATTTTCCAATTTCACTTGTAGTTTCTTTGTTGATATGTTGGCTGGGTTAATTGCCACAAAATCATGAATTTTCTAGTTTTACTTCTTTTGTAGATTTCAAATTTCACCATTATGATCGGAGAAGATCCTTTGTGTGATACCTTTTAAAATCCACTGAGACTTAATTTCTAGCATAACACATGGTCTATCCTGGAAAATGTCCCATGTGCACTTGGGAAGAATATATATGCTCCTGTTGTTGGAGAGATTGTTGTTTGTGCTTGTTAGATCTGTTTGGTTTATTAAGTCCTCTTTTCCTTATCTTATGTCTGGTTGTTCTATCATTTATTGATAGTATGTATTGAAATTTTGTCAACTATTATTGTAGAGCTATTTTCCCCTTCAGTTGTCAGTTTTTGCTTTATGCATTTTGCTACTTATTAGGTATGTGAATGTTTAAAATTGTTACAGCTTGTTGTTGTACTGAGTCTTACTAGCATAGTCTATCTATGTCTCTTGTGACCATTTTTTATTTAAAGTGTATCTTGTTTGATATTAGGATAGCTGCTCTGTTCTCTTTTGGTTATTATTTGCCTTGAGTATCTTTTTCTATCCTTTCATTTTCAGTCTCTGTGTGTCTTTGGAGCTAAAGTCTCTTATAGATAGTATATAGATAGATCATGTGTTTTATTCTATCCTGATAGACTTTAGTTGGAGAGTTTAATCTACTTAATCATTGATAGGAAGGTACTTTTTTGTCATTTTGCTTTTTTTTAATATGCTGTATAGCTTTTTCTTTTTTTGCCTCTCAGTTCTTTCATGACTGTCTTCTTTTGTGTTCAGTTGATTTTGCCCCAGTGAAATGTTTACATTCTTTTCTCATTTTCTCTTAGGTATATTCTGTAGCTATTTTCTTTCCAAATGTACCACGGGGGATTACATTTAACATCCTAAAGTTATTACATTCTTATTCAAATTTATATCACCTTAACTTCAGTAACATACACAAACTCTGCTGCTTTAACAGCTTAATTCCTACCCTTTTCAGTTGTTGATGACACAAGCCTACATTTTTATTTTTGTGAAGATTTATTTATGCATACAAGAACTGGGGTACAGGTCAGAGGTGTGGAGGGTTAAGAGGATTCTCCAGAGACAGAGTGGAGAGCAGAACAGGTGGATTGACTGAAATACACTACTGAGAAGAGTAGCAGGTAAGACAGGAGAGGTCTGTTGCGCCATGTGGGTCACCTTGCTGGCTGGGGATCAAATTTGTGCTGCAGTAGCTGTGGATTGCTTCATAGTGCTGATGCTTAACCACTTGCGCCACCAGGGAGGCCCCACAAAACTACATTTTTATAATTCTGTGCCCCTTTAACAGCTTAGTTCCTACCCTTTTTCAGTTGCTGATGTCAAAAAAATTACACTTTTATAATTCTGTGTCCCCAAAACATAATAAAATTTAGTCTCTTAAACTATGTTGAAAACATGTGGAGTTACAAACCAGTTACAATAGTACTATTAAACAATATATTATCAGTTTCTTAAGTCACATATAAAACAAAGTTACAAGCAATTGTTAGAATCAATACTAGTATGCTTGGATATCTGAAATGCCTTTAGGAAAAACATTTTGAATAAATACAGTTAAATTGGTACTTAACTGCTCTCAGGTACTCTTAAGGGAAGTGGTACTTTGTTAAAATGGTGCACAATAAACATTTCTGCTGTCAGAGTAGATCAGTTTCAGTCGTGTGCTTTCAATGTTAGACATTTATTACTGGAAATAAAAATACAACATAGCGCCTCCCTGGTGGCACAGGGGTTAAGTCACGACACTATTAAGCTATTGCTAGCTACTGCATCCTGAGTCATGAGTTTGATCCCCAGCCAGGGAGCTAACCCACATGGTGCAGCAGACCTCTCCTGTCTTACCCACTGCTCCCCTCAGCAGTGTATTTCAGTGGATCCGCCTGTTCTGTTCCCACTCTGCCTCCGGTGAATCCTCTCACCCCCTGCACCTCTGGTCTACCCTCACTTCTTGTAAGCATAAATTTAAAAAAAAATAAATAAATCTTTAAAAAAATAAAATGAACTTGGAATAGAGGACTAGCTCACTTAAGTATTTCCCTATGGTTTAAAAAATTTAGTGTATAATTTTTTGTTACAATACTTTTAATTCTAGCTATATACACACACACACACACACATGCCATTTTAAAGTATACAATTCAGTGGCATTTAGTACATTCATTCACGATTTGTACACTCATCTCCACTATCTAGTTCCAGAATATTTTTATCCTAGAGAATGCCCATATCCATTAATCAGTCATTCCCCATTCTTCCCTTCCCAGCATGTAATAACTATTGATCTGCTTTGCTGCTAGACTTTTGTCTGTTCTGGGCATTTCATGTAAATGTAATCATACGTGTCTTTTGTGCCTGACTTCTTTCCTGTTTTTAACCTTATGTAGCAAGTACCTGTATCTCCTTCCTTTTTATGGCTGGACATTTGTTTCCATTTTTTGGCTACTGTGGAATAGTGCTGCTATGAACACTTACACCTGTTAGTTTGAATGCTTGTTTTTAATTCTTTTGGCTTGAAATGACTGAATCACACAGTACACCACTCTATTTATATTGCTGAATTCAAATAGTGGGTAGTTTGCTCTTTGGGGGGTACTCACTTTATAGATTTATGTGACTCTCAGTGTGCATAAAAATTCTAGGTCTGATGTCTGGGATTTGTATTTTAAAGTAACATGCTGGTGACCTATGGAGATGGGCTTCCCACTACAATTTTGAGAAACCTCAGTGATTGATGTCTTTTCCTCAACTAAAATCAAAGTAGGCAAAGGGCATTAAAAGAGTAAAATGTAGGGCCTCCCCGGTGGCGCAGCGGTTGAGCGCTGGGTTGCGAAGCTGCCCGGCGGCCTCTGCGGAGCCAGTTCGATCCCCGGCTGCTCCCAGGCCACCAGAAGAGGGTCCCACATGGCGCGCAGACCTCTCCTGCCACCCGCTGCTCCCCTCAGCAGTGTACTTCGGTCCTTCTGCCTGCTCTGCACCCCGCTCTGGCTCTGGTGAATTCTCTCACCCTCCCGCGCTTCTGACTGTACCCAGTGCATGTATAAACAAAACAAACAAGCAAGCAAACAAATAAATAAATAAAACATGCCTCTATTTAAAAAAAAAAAAAAAGTAAAATGTAGTTTCCCTGATTCTCATCAAAACCTTCACAGAAACCCCAAAACTGAGATGACAAATGTTATAATGTACAATGTATTTAAGAGGGAAAAATCTTGGTTTTCTACAGTAGTTTCATTTATTCCCTTTTAATAGTATTGAAAAGTTTGACCAAGAAAAAATATATAGTATTAGAAACAAAATATTATTGAACCAACTGTCATTCTGAAGATTCTACTATAAACATCTGTTCTTCTCAGTGATAAGCAATACTTTAGCTAACTTTTGGCTTTTAAAAAAATATTGTATGGCCTCCCCTGGTGGTGCAGCAGGTGAGTGCTGGGCTGCGAAGCTGCCTGCAGCCTCTGTAGCGCCGGTTCGCTCCCTGGCCGCCGCCGGGGAGGGTCCCACATGGCCTGCAAACCTCTCCTGCCGTGCCCTCTGCTCCCCTCAGCAATGTACTTTGGTCCTTCTCCCTGTTCTGCTCCCTGCACTGGCTCTGGTGAATTCTCTCACCCTTCTGAGCTTCTGACTGTACCCAGTGCTTGTATAAATAAATCTTTAAAAAAAAAAAAAAAATTGTAGTCCATTCGGTTTATTTTTTATCATTTGGGCTTTAATGTTCAAACAAGAAACCAGCTGCTATTTAGATGGAGTTTCTTCTTTTTTAGACAGTTAAGATTCACTATAGATATAATTGTTTAATGTGTGACTTTCTCAAAAGAAAAAAATCATTGCCTCACCTCCATTTAACAAGGTGATGATTCTTAAAAAGCTGATGTGATTTATCTTTAGAACCAGCTGTGCAAGGCCAATCTAGTCTTAGACGATAACTCCACTTGCAAGTACTATAATTCATATAAACCCTTAAAAACGCAAAACCATCTTGAATAATTATGTTGGTTTAATTAATCACACTTCATTGAAGCCCAAAGCACCCAAACATTCCTCTTCTTTATGAATAAATAAAAGCTCTGTAATTTATAGTGTGCAGAACACTTTAAGAGACTTCCCATCAAAATTACTTTAGGATCTTTTTCATCAACAACTGGTGTATAAGAAGACTTATACAGCATCTGCTGAGTGCATGTTCTTCTCTGTGAGGACCTAATTTAGGTTAAGTACAAATCACAACAAAAACTAAACTTTTCACCTTTAATGAAATGACTTTGGAAATAACGTACATTTCCATGACACCCATACTACAGTTTTTGGAGTCACAGTAAGATACACAGATTAATTACATCCGTAATTAATATGAATGCCAACATTTCAAGCAGTAATTTGTTACATGGCAAACAAAATCAAAAAAGCAACCATCAAACAAAAGAGACCCATAGCTTCAGACAAGGCAAATCCCAGGATAGCATATGAGAACAGCTGCTGCTTCAGCGAAGGGTTTCTAAAAAAGCACAAGACATATAATTGTTACTGTGGAATATTTGAATTTCAACAATGTGTTAAATATTGATGAATCAGATTACTAGTGTTAGGATATCTGTAAACTAGAGAGTAGTGGAAGAGTACTTCCCTAGCTCTTATTTCTGCTTCTGACATTCCTTTTTCCTCAATCCTAATCAAATGGGGAAAACGGAGCTTTCTCTGTATGACAATGTAAATGGCAGTTGTCATTTATCGTTCTGACATTTTTAACAATTAAAAAAGTATGGACTCTGAAGTCAAGCTGAGTTAAAAATTTTACTTACTAGCTATAATTCTGGGCAAACTGTGTAACCTGTATCTCTAATCCTTATTTCTCCAAAGGGTGTTGTGAAGATTAAGTGATATAATGCATATGAAGCTTTCAAAACATAATGCAAGTCACAGAATAGACACATAGTACAAAGTAGATATTATTTCACTAGTTTTTCTAAGTTTCCAACCATTTAAAGCATGCTTTGAAAGTATCTTATTTGGCAATAGAAATTACCTGGCATAACCAATGATAAGGCTGCCAAAGACTGTTCCAATACCAGCACCAGAACCAGCCACTCCTACTGTTGCAGCACCTGCACCAATAAATTTGGCAGCAGTATCAATGTCTCTGCTGATTGCACTGGTCTGAAACTCCCTTTGGATTAGTTGAGACACACCATTCTGGGCCCCATTAAATACCGTAGAGCCCTAGGGAACAGGAAATAAAGGCAAAGGTCAAATCAGTAATCACAGTTAGCTATTTAATCACTGCACTGTAGCTGAGTATGGAAAGAAGGTAGTATGGCACAAGACAAAAATTAAGGACTTAGATAATTCCACTATTGTAGAAGAGGGATAACAGTAAGAAAATTAAGAAATAGTATTATGTGAACAGACTTTTCTATTTTGTAGGTTTTTTATTATATGTGCTGCCGAAGCAAACACTCTATTTTGTAGGATTTTTAGTAACTACAGCTATAATGTAACTATAATCTTAAATATAGGAAAGTCAACTATATACTTAAATATAACTACTACTATAGTTCTTGCTCAACTTAAATGGTTAAGTTTTAGATACAGAAAATTTTTTCATGGGCTTATCCTCTGCATGTTTTTTGGAGGAAAAAGTGGAAAAGGATTGCCCTCAAAACATTAATGAGGTGTTTCCTTCTTCACTTTAATCAAAACTCTAAGACTTAGTAGTGTACTTAATTTCTATTTTATTACAATTACCTCTCCAGTCCTCGCCTCTGGTCGAGATAACACTGATGCAGAAATTGGTCTGTATGCAACTCTGGATCCAACTCGGATCTAATAATAAAAAAAAAATTACAAGTAGTTAAGTAAGAATATAAAGATTTATTTATGCATACAAGAAATGGGGTATAGGTCAGAGGGGTGTGTGTGTGTGAAGTATTCACCAGAGACAGAGTGGGGAAGAAAACAGGCAGATTGACTGAAATACACTGCTGAAGGGAGCCGCAGGCGAGTTAGGAGAGGCTGCTTCGCCATGTGGGTAGTTCCCTGGCTGGGGATCGAACTCATGCTGCAGAGACTGTGGATTGCTTCGTGGTGTGGTACTTAACCCCTTGGGCCATCAGGGAGGCCCAGTAAGTAAGACTATCAATTAAGACTTCAATGACCTTTCATGTACAAGAAGTTCTTAAAAAGCCAGCAAAAGTGAATCAGAAAGTTCATGACATTTTTGTATTCATTCTTGTCTGGTTGGTCATTTTTAATACACGAAGCAATTTTAATTGTTTTGGAAGTTGGTAATAAAATTTTAAAACTTGCTGTACAATCTATTTGCAACAATGAACAAAAATTCTAAGACCAATTAGTTGAAAAGCATACGTACTGCTTTTTAAATTCCAATTGCTGTGTTGCCACAATTCAGGTGGGAAAACAGAAATAAAAACTTAACACTCTTTGGTAAGTTTAAGTAGACCAACAAATAAATTAGGAGTGTCACTATAAATGCTGGTCACTTAAAATAGTCCATCAGTTAATATCAGCTTCCACGATTTCCAAGATATTCCTGTATGTCCATTAATCATAAAATCAAAAAACGGATTAAGCAATTCTATGTCAATGTTACAACAATGCTTGAAATACTTTGACCATAAGGCCATATCCCAGTCCAGCTTCTCTGTCCTTGAGTGTCCACTAAACTAAGGTCACAGAAAATCCCTTCAGAACCAAGACCAGATTCTCTAAGACAAATCCCCTAGAATGTCACTTCACCGAAAACCTCCAAAAAACGCTTGTAGAAACAATATCCCAAAGGCAGGAAGAAAGACTTTGGGCTCCACCACCTCCCTCCACTCACACAAGAGTGAGACAAAGTCCCTCCCTCTGCAGCAGCGAGTTTGACCTACAGATAGGCGCCTGCTGCTGGGCTCAACTAGGCCTCAGCGGCCCCCTACATCCCTCACAGCACCCCAGCCTTCTCTTCGATCGCAACCCAACAGAGTGGCCGAGGACCAGGAGGTGGCGGCCGCCCCGGGACTCGGGGCAAGGAGGGTTTGACCTACACCGAGTGAGGCCTGACAGCTAGGCCTCGGCGGCGCTCCAACGCCCTAGAGGTGCAGCGGGGCGGAGTGAGACGCCCCAGGACGAAGAAAAAGAAAAAGAAGACACCGAGGACGGGCTGAGCAGCCTGAGGCCGCGGTGCGCCCCGCCCGATGGCTGCCCATTCAACAACGTGGACGCTCCAGGCCAAGGGTTCCGGGCCTCCGTCCCAGGGCCCGGCCCGGGTTACGCACCAGAGCGGGGGTGCAGGCGAGCTTGGCGCAGGCGAACATCTTAGCCTTCGGGACGGCGCGGCTGGAGGACTTGGGCGGCTGGCTCAGTGGGCTCCTCTCCCGCGTCCTCTCTGCGGAGGGAGAGAGGCGTAAGGTCAAGTGCCCTCCCGGGGCCTGTCCTTCCCAGCCAGGTCCCCCGGGCCCCCGCGCGCGCCGCCAGCCCGGGCCCCGCGCCCAGGGAGGCGACGGCAGAATGAATGGGTCCCCACAGGGCGCCGCGCCCCCCCGGCCCCGCGGGGCTCCCGCGCCCTCCGCTTACCTTCCCCCGAGGCGGCGGCGGCGGCTGCGGCGGCAGAGGTCGAAGGAGTGGGGCTGGGCGCGCAGGCGCGGGCGGGCTCTTAACCACGCCGCGGCACCCGGATGGAGAAGGCGGGGGATCCGGCGCGGGAGGGACGACGCTCAAGGTCACTTTGTAACAACTTTATTGGTAACCCGTCGGGAAGGACAACGCCGCCGCTGGAGGATGGCTCCGCGGGCAGTGGATCGTAAAGGGGACGCAGAAAGAAGAAATCGAAGACGACTGCTGGCAGAGGGAGTGGAGCGGGTGGTTGCACCGTTGATCTGAGGTGGCCGGAAGATAGTGAGGCTTTTTCTTTCATCTGAGATCTTCTTTTTTAAATTAATTAATTAATTAATTTGTTTGTTTGTTTTGATTTTCTTTATACAAGCACTGGGTACAGTCAGAAGCGCGGGAGGGTGAGAGAATTCACCAGAGCCGGAGCGGGGAGCAGAACAGGCAGAAGGACCGAAGTACACTGCTGAGGGGAGCAGCGGGCGGCAGGAGAGGTCTGCGCGCCATGTGGACCCTCCTCTGGTGGCCGGGGAGCAGCCGGGGATCGAGCCGGCGCTGCAGAGGCTGCGGGCAGCTTCGCAACCCAGCGCTCAACCGCTGCGCCACCGGGCAGGCCCTCATCTGATACCTTCTTATGGGACTTCATTTTTAATCAGTTGCCCCTTATCTTCTATGGAGGGGTGTGTGGGGGGGGGCTTCCTGCTCATACTCCCGGTATATGGTATAGAACTCTTGAGTGTGGGGACAGGAGTCATTCACCGCTTGAGAGGAGACATTTTCCAGGGTCCCCAGCAAAGAGAGTACATTTCTTTAAAGGGACCTGGAAAAGGATTTTAGAAGTATGTCTAGTCCGTTGGGTGAAAGAGGGCCTGACCTACAAGTACTAAGTCAGGGGAACGCACACATTAATAGCTTTAAGAGCTTTGTGACTTATCTCTTGATAAGCTGAAGGAGGTGAACCTTTTTCTCCAGCTCTGCGATTTGAAGAATTCAGGGAAAGTTAGGTATTTCATGTAGGGACAGGGACTCAAGAAAGGTCTGAGTATTTTAAAAATGGATTCAACTTTCACATCTGCATTTGGGAACTTTGGAAAAATCGTTTTCTTTGGGAGAATGTAGAACTGTCTCAAAAAATGGCTCTTAATGCTTGACCTAACAGTACTAATAAATGGCTACTAGGAATAATACAAGTCATCATAGAAAAGTAAATGTTTAGTATGGCCAGCCAAGGATGGAGGGCTAGGGACTGAAGTCCAGCCCACCTGGCCTATAGCCCTGGCATGGGACATCATTAACCCAGAGGGTCACAGTTCCCTAGTTAGCACAATCATTTAGCAGCAATCCTGGGGAGAACCCCCTCAGAACTGACACTTGAAGAATGAATAAGATTTTGTCACTGATCCAACTGCGAATTCAAATAGTTCAAAATCACGTGAAAACTAATCATGTTAGGTTTGATCATTAGCCCATAAAATAGAGATAATTTGCCTGTGCAGTTCCAAGAGAGATTATAGGTATGTTGTCTCAAGTACTCAGTTCTTTTTAAAAAAAAAAAAGATTTTTTTTTTATTTAGGCATACAAAAACTGCGGTACAGGCCAGAGATGGGGGGGGGGGCGGTTAGAAGATTCACCAGAGACAGAGTGGGGAACAGAACAGGCCGATTGACAGAAATACACTGCTGAGGGGAACAGTGGGTGAGTCAGGAGAGGTCTGCTGTGCCATGTGGGTTGCTCCCTGGCTGGCCAGGTATCGAACTCATGCTGCAGTGGCTGCGGACAGCCTCATAGGTTGTGTCCCAACCCCTTGCACCACCAGTGAGGCCCTCAAGTACTCATTTCTTACCTGAAGTATGTAGTAACCTGTTAAACAAGAATACTCTGAATTAGCGTTATCCAGAGAAACAAAACCAGAAGGGTTTTCTATCTATCTATCTATCTATCTATCTATCTATCTATCTATCTATCTATCTATCTATCTATCTATCTATCATTTATGTAGTGAGGAATTCACTGGGAATCCCTGGAAAACTGTTGTAATTCACTTGGAATCCAAAGGTCTGAGAACCAGGGGAACCAATAATGTAAGTCCCAACCTGAGAGCCAGAGCAGAAAAATTGAGATGTCCTAACTTAAGCAGTGAGACAGGCAAATTCTTCCATCCTGCACCTTTTGTTCCAGTCAAACTCTCAATGGACTGAATGACGCCCACCAGGATGGAGGAGGTGATCTCTTACACTGAAATCCCCATTTTTAAATACTAATGTCATCTAAAAACGCCTTCACAGACATGCCCAAAAATAATGTGTAGGAACCTTACAGCTAGTCAAGTTGACACATAAAATTAACCATCACATATCCTATATTTTAATAATGGATACTCTTAAGGGAAAAATCACTCTGAATGGCTCAATGAAAATTCCTGTCTCTTCAGCAACAAATTCAGTGGCAGTACCTGTTGAAGAGAAGGTAGAGAAGCCAGGATCCCTAACAGAATCATTTCCGGGGTGCATAGGGACTAGTTGCCTATGGCAAGGGGAGGTGGAGTTTATGTTCAGACCTTGAACTCTCAGCATATCAATAAGTAGCATAAAAGAAGAGAGAATTTTTCCCTTGTGGGTTTTCTCTCAGAGTTTAAATATTTATGAAGAATATTAGGTGTTTAAAGAATAGATGTTCTATCTCTGAGAATGGCATGTGTGTATGCAAGAGAGAGAGAGAGAGAGAGAGAGAGAGAATCCAGTAATTACCTGTTTGAGGAATAGTGAAGAATAATGAGAAAGCACATTCACCTCACATAGGCTGGAGACTAGAACCTAGAAATGTGAGTTTTAAAGTGCAGCCTAGTCTATTTTGTTGAGTACCCTGACCACAGCCACACCTCCAAGGTGCTATTACTGATAGATTACTCAGATTTTGCTTGATTTTGTAACTTGTATTGATAGAAAGGAGGGGGTTTTGAGTAACACCACGCCATGCTGATGTTGGGTGGATATCTGCACTGAGGAAGTTTGAAGAAAAGGTATCTCCTGAGAGGAGTAAAGGGAGACCATATAAATGAATAGGGGACTTCTTGTGAAATATTTAATTATCCCTATGTTTTTTCTTAGACTGTGGGAAGCTTCATGGTAAGTTATGACAATTCATAATTTGATAATATCAGATAAACCTGGGTGATGATGGCATGGGGAAGAAAGGACTGGGGCAGTAAAGAGAAGTATGAAAAATCATTTTCAAATATAACTGCTACAATCCCTCCTCTCTTGCATGCCCTTTTGCAGTGTGACCATACCATTCTTCTCCTAAGGCAGTCTGTTTCCTCATTCTTAAATCTGGGCTAGCCCTGTGACTTGCAATGGAAGTAAGTTGCACTGTAACCTCTGGACTAGTCTTAAGAGATCTGTAGATTGCACTCTCCTTCTTGGAAACCAGCCACCATACCAAGAAAAATGGGTTAGATTACTGAATGATAAGAAACCACAGACAGAAAAAGGCTTAAGAGACTTGAGGTGCACCAGACATGTGAGTGAGGTCATCTTGGATTCTCTGTCCTCAGTCAAACTTTCCCAACCAACATCACAACAGGAATGAGACCTGCCCTAACTCCTCGCCCGGAGAGTCAAGAGCAATGAAAGCATTGTTGTTTGAAGTGATTTCTAGGGTAAGATAACTGAAACAGGAGATACTGTTTGCCAAATATGCACTACTCCTTTAAGATCTATGTGGAGGGCCTCCCTGGTGGCGCAGCGGTTGAGCGCTGGGTTGCGAAGCTGCCCGCGGCCTCTGCGGCGCCGGTTCGATCCCCGGCTGCTCCCCGGGCCACCGGAGGAGGGTCCCACATGGCGCGCAGACCTCTCCTGCCACCCGCTGCTCCCCTCAGCAGTGTACTTCGGTCCTTCTGCCTGCTCTGCTTCCCACTCTGGCTCTGGTGAATCCTCTCACCCTCCCGCGCTTCTGACTGTACCCAGTGCTTGTATAAACAAAACAAACACACAAATAAATAAATAAATAAAACATGCCTCTATTAAAAAAAAAAAAAAAAGATCTATGTGGAGGCGGCAGTACCTTAAGATAGGAAATTTCAGCTCAGAGTTCCAGGCATAGCTCATGGCAAAGCAGACAGAGAGGAACACCAGGCTTGGTGGCTGACTGCCCTATCCTTGAAATTCTGGGGGATGTAGAGTCATTATTGTTAAAACTCTTTTAAGTAAGTTATAACCTGAACACATAGAAAGATGTTTAAATGATCTACCTTTTTAGTTATCATTTTAATGGCCTGTAAAACTTTTACCAGCCTTCTTACACTTGTGTGATATAAATTACTATTTGTGGAAATGAAAATCAGGAATGTAAGATGACAGTTTACCTTTATAATATTTTGTTTTTCTTACATGTGTTTATTTTTCAATGATGTAAGCCAATTTTATCATAATAATAATTTAAGAAAGCAAAGGACAAAACCAAACCAAAGCATGCTCTAGAAATCTGACTAATGAATTAAAGCTACTAAAAAGGGGAGAGGGACAAAGAAGGCAAAGGGCCCACTTAACCATGGGGGAGGACTGGGTGCCTTGGTGGTAGTGGTTATGGGGTAACATACATCTGAAGAAGTGTGAACCTCTAAATCATGCACATTGTAGAAGCCAATGCTATCTCAATTAAAAAAAATTCAATTAAAAATTTGTCTCATTATTGACCTTAATTTGCTATCAGTTTACCTTTATTTTTTAAATAAGCCTTTAAACCAGAATTAGAATTTAAACCAGAATTAAATCTATACAATAACTCAAGCAAGGTGAGCTTCAAATAAATACTATATTCCCCCTCTGAATATAGTAAATGTACAGAAAAAGGCAAGAGTTTATAATGTAATGGAGGCATGTGAAAAATTGAACTAAGGCTATAAAAAATTGAGAAACAAATTATTAAATGCTCTCGAACTGTTTATGGTGTGTGATTAGGGAAATACCTTCAACCAAAAAATAATCAAGTTGAATTATAATAATGAAAGCATTTATTTGAGATTAGG